TCTTGGCCTTCTGTATGCATTCCAAAGGCACTAGCAATTGGACGATCATCAATTTTAGGGATTCTTGAATTGAGGATGTCAAAAGTATCATTTATAAGTTTTACAAAATCAGAAATTTCCTTGTCATCAGGTAGAAGGAAAAATATTGCTTGAATGACACGATTAGAAAATAACTGGCAAGCAAGATTAACTTTTTGACGTTCTCTTCCATGCACATCCATATGAGCTTGTGCCAGTTTCGGACATAGCTTTATTTCCCCATTATCCAAGGATAATATTTTCAGAAAAACATCTTTATTCACATGTTTTCTTCCTGGTAAGATAATGCCTTCATCTAATACATGATTCCTCAAAAGTTTAATCAAATATGGCACATCTGAATAGACACATATGTGCTTTCCAGGATGTGTAGGATTTTCAAAGCATGTATTTTTATGGTCAACTTTGAGATAGTTCCATACATTTGAATTTTTTCCTCTCCATCACACACAACACCAACTATAAAACCCGCACTCTGAACTTAGGTGAATTATTGAAAGAAATAATAACTAATCATAGTGGTATCAATGTCATATTAACAGGCTGTTTCCAATTCCCACACAGAGCATGAGCCATTACTACCTGCACTTGACTGTGAGGTCCAAAAACTTTGTCCATCTCTTGGTCATAACAGAGTCTGGAATCAACATTCATTTCATCAAAGCTCAGAATGCAGAGAAATTCTATAACTGTGAGACTTTCAGTTTTCATCTTCATTATGTGCAAAACATCATGCAGTACTCCTGGATAGCAATGAAAAGATAATGAAACCCATCTCCTTAAAGTAGAAAGTGCAGGTAAAGGGATTCCAAGGCTATTTCTCATATACATATAACACTTCCTAGGTAAAGAATGCAGGGTCAGTGCTTTTGTATATCTTCTTTTGTCCAATGTGGCTTCATTTTTTGTGTTATAAGACAATCTATTTGTGTTTTGGTAAATATTTTTTTCAAAATATTACTTATTTCTCATTCACTTCTTCATGTTTTTTACTTTCTAATAATTTTAATTTTTGGTTTTTCTCAGTAAGAGCCAACTGTAATAATTTATTTTTTCTTTTCAGGTTAAATATTTCCCTCTTCAAGTGATCAGTTTTAGCATTTGCTAAATCCAGTTTTTTTGCTAATTTCATTTCCAAAGAAGACTCATTTATAGGTTCAGTTTTTTTCTTCTTCTCTCTTCCTTACAGTTAATATGGAGATATTAGCCTTGTTGGCTTTTTCTCTGAATTGACTTCACTCATTGGTCAGTGGAAGCTTTATGACATAAGTTTCAAGCCCCATCATGTGATGGCAGGGAGTAATGTCAGTCAAAGGCTCATAAATGGGAAGCACAGTAGTTACGTGTGTTAAGTTAATGTTCAGTATCGTGTCTAGATCATGGCGGGGGCTAGCATATTGAGGGCACTGCAGCCAAAAATGAAGGGTCGTCTCCTGAGCCTCGTAGTGAGGGCAATTCGGTGAATCATTTAATTGACAAGAATATAAGAAGTCATTTAGTGGGGCTGTCTCCGTGTATAGCCGGGCCAGCAAAGTTTCCATGTGCCTATTCGAGGCATAGTGATAATACCATGTGGTGAAGGGACGTAGGTGCTCACGGCCTTTCCTCCAAAGTGTAGCTGTCCAAGTGTCCGTCAATAGATGGATAGTATTGATCTGGACTGTGCTGGCGAGGTCACGTGGCAACAGTGTCCTCCAAATAGAACCGTTCAGTGTATGGTATCGAGCCGCTTTGTCTGCTGCTTCATTAATTGGAATTTCTGAATGGCTAGGAGTCCATCCCATGACACAGGGCGCCCTCTGAGTACTGATGCTCACTGCCAGATCTATAATAAGTGAAGGAGATGTAAATGACACATTTGCCATGGCTTGTAGGACTGAAAGGCTGTCCAAGAATATGGCCATATGCCGGTCAGACTGTTTGGAGAGTCAAGTCGCCCTCAGAAGCCCTTGGGCCTCCGCCCTGAAAACACAACTTATCTCATGGATAGTCCAAGTTTCGATTCTGTTACTACTCAGGAGTATTACTCCTATGGCAGTGTGGGCCCTAGTTTTACAGGGGCATCCACCCCGATATGTGTCCATCCTGGCCATTTGGTTGTCATGGACAACTGGAACTGCACTCTTGTAGCCTCTGGCGGGCGTCCCGACGTTTTGTGGAAGTTCTCAAGGCTCAGTTGGCTATAGACACTGGACAATTTTGGCGGCACGCTACTTTGTCAATAGAGGTGAGTTGTAGGAATGCCTGCATGGCGGATCTCCACAAGGACCCAATGTATGTATAAGACTTGAAATTGGGGCCGAGTGAGAAAGACTGGAGGGGGCTGTATGTCTCTCTAGAGATGTGTATCATGGCATGGGAGAGAGCCCTCAATCGGAGTCTGGATCGCAGAGGAATGTAACTTGAAAACAAGGGGTGTTGTTTTTGGCACTCCTAAGGCTGTCCTTAGTGCTTCATGAAACGGCTTCTCAATTCGTTTAAGAATAGAGGGATGCTCCTGCCAGTAAAGGTGCCCTGAATTCTGCCATCAGGCCTAGTACTGCATTGACATGACAAATGGATAAACCGATTAGTCGAATTTGTTTTAGTCAATAATTATTTTATTTGTAATAATGGTTTCTTTAGACAATTAGAAGGTATCTTTATGGATACTTGCATTGGTCCAAAAATTGCTGAACTGTGCATGAATAACATCAACAATATTATCCATAAACTTCAGGGTATAATGTTCTATAATTGTTATGTTGACGACTGTTTTGTTGTTTATAACAAACAATTAACCAACCCTCAAATCATACTTCAATATACCAACAATATTCAGAAAACTGTGTGTTTCGAAATAGAAAATGAAAATAACAACAAACTTAATTTTTTAGACATTACTATACTAAGACATGATAATTTCATTACCTTTAAAAAATATATAAAATCCTGTGAAATCAGTAAAGTAATCAGACATATGTATGTCAACAAAATCAAAACACGTACAAGTGATACTACTAACCAAAACATAGAAATAGACCAAATTTATCACACCTTTCAATTAAATAACTACCCAAACAGAATTATAAACAAATGGCTACACAACCACTCATCAGGTCAATCCAAACCAAAGACACAAATAATTTACAAAAAATTAGATTATACCCCTATTATTTTTGAAAACATCCAAAGAATACTAACACCATATAATATCATTTTAGCACCCACACTAAACAATAAAATCAAAAATTCCGTAAAAACCAAAGAACAAACTATTGGGTTGTTTGGAAAGTAAGTTAGTCGTATTTTTCCTGCCATTTTCATTCTAAACCGTATTATCATTATATATTTTGACAGCTAGCATTTTAAGGCTTATTTGTAAAAAATTTTTTTTGATTTTGTGCAATTGTTTATTTTTTGTGTAAATATGGAAGATTGAAAATATCATTTTCGGCATATTTTTTTACCAAATTATTTATTACCGAAAAGATAAGAATGCTATTCAAACGAGAAAAAAATTGTGTGATGTGTATGGAGATGATGTATTGACAGAATGACAGTGCCAAAACTGGTTTACAAAATTTTGTTCTGGCAATTTCAATATTGAAGATGCACCACATTCTGGATGGCCAGTTGAAGCCAGTGAAAACAAAATAAACGTACTGATTGAAGCAAACTGCTGAATAACAACACATGAAATCACTAAGTGATTAAATTTGTCAAATTGAACTGTTTATGAGTACTTGAAATAAATTGATTTCATTTCAAAGCTTGATATATGGGTTCCATATGTTCTTAAAGAGAGACGCTCTCTTTGGTGGGATTTTAAGGAAATTTTATTTTGGAGCTTTTATCAGACAATTTAACAACTGATTTGAAAGTGTACTGCCATCGAGTAAACAAATTGAGTAATATCATCAAACAGAAAAGGCCGCCAGAATTGATCAACAAAACAGGTGTAGTGCCTTACTACGATAATGTCAAATTTCACACAAGTTTGGTAACTGGTTAGAAACTGTTATAACTTAGATGGGATGTGCTATCACACCAACCATATTTGCCAGATCAAGCACACTCAGATTATTACTTGTTCCAGTCTATACAAATTTTTTTTAACTGTAAGGCATTTACTTGAAATGACAATGTCAAACATCACTTGGATCAGTTTTTTGTAAGCAATGATCAAAACTTTGTGAATGTGAAATCATGCTACTACCAGAAGCGATGACAACAGGTATTTGACCAAGATGGTCAATATATAATTCAATAAAATATTTATTTATTATAAAAATATTATGTTTTTTCCATGGAAAAAAACGAACTTACTTTCCAAACAACCCAATAATAGTAATACTGATATTTTATTAAATAATAATCTTGTTTACAGCTTCACTTATACATGTCATCCAAAGTACTATTACATACTATTAGGTGAAACTAGCAGAGCATTAAAAACCCATATAAAAGAACATATAAGAACAGTGAAGTATGATTACACCAACTCAGCAGTCGCCACTCATTGCAACCAAGCAGGCTGTGAGATCTCACTAGACAGTGTCAAAATTCTTAAAGAAAAAAAATATTATTAAAATAAAATTTTATAAACACATTGAAATTATCAAAACAAATGAAATACACAGAATGAACCTAAAGGTGCAGTCATCAATGACATCTGGCAACCATTCCTAACTAAGTAGCAAAGCCCATTAAGATGTACTACCTCCCTCCCTCTATCATATCCCACTGTGTAAGTCAACACATCAAACATTCAGTGAACGATACAGGGAATACTCACATCTTTTTAACCTCTCCTATCTGACCTATGTTTTTTGTACATTTCATCAGAATTATTTCGCAGCCTACAGGTATTCTCTTATTAATTTTATAAAAATTCTGCCTCTTAATTATGTATTTGATTTTTTATTTAAGTTTACCCCCTTTTTATTCTAGCGCATGTTATACTGTTATAATGTTACACTGTGTAAAAGGGTCCCCTTTTTTCACATATGTCTTCTCATGAATCGTGCTATCATAACTGTCACTATAATCTCAGGTAATTATGTTTTATTGTATAAACCTTTGTATGCGTATCCTAAATATTTCAATACAATCGATAAATCTGTAACTCTGTAATAATTTTGCTGATAAATCTGTTATAATAGGACTGAAGAGGGAGGGGCATTAAACCTGAAATGCATATCCTTTCCTATCAATAAACTGACTTTTTTCCACTAAAAGTTTTCCTGTGTGATTTGTTCTCAACGGCAACCTTATGCTAAGAAAATACATATAGTAAAGAGAACAGCAAGCAACCAAGATCTAATTTTTTTTTTTTTTATGTAAAATTCATTCAGTATTATTGTTACTTTTGTGTTAATTAAAAATTATTCAGCTAGCCTAGTATCCAAACTTTTAGATGTTACATTTTTAATTGTTTTGTATGATGTTTTCACACATTACAAAAATTTTGAATTAGATTTATATTCAAAATCTGTGTCAGTTTAGTGAGATGGTGCTGGAACTGACACAACCTGGCATTTTAAAATGAACACAAACACTGACTGTCGAGGATATTGGGAAAGAAAAACAAGAAAAATGTCAAATGATGTGGACTTCCATGTTTGCTAAATTTATTTTTGAACTTACTTAATGAGAACAGCTTAATGAAAAATAAATACGGTATTTCGAAAAGAGAAAGAGGGATGAAGATTTTTTAATTTCCATAGGAATTAAGATTGATTTATAAGATTACACTTTACTTTTGGGCTAAACTTTTGGGCTAAAAGGGTAACCTATGCGAATATCCTTGTTACCAAAAACCATGTGATCATTGCTAAAACTGTTAGTATTTATAGCCTTGATGACTTTATTGACAACACTTTTCCTTAAATTATTTAAATAAACCAGAAATTAATAAGTGCTTTTGCTTTTATTATTCAAAGCATCTAAAAATAAAATATGTTTATATATCATCAATAAAACTAAAAATACAGAGTACCAAATTTTTCTTTTGGTTATATATTTATGACATTTAGATTACTACATGCCATATAGTGACAAACATTTATAACAATTGAAGTTTTTAACTATAGATGTTTTTGATGCTGTATTTTCTATTTAATTTTTTCACATTATGTAAATAATCATATAAAATTGATTTTCTTTTGATGATCTTATGATTGCTTGACCAGAATATGATTTTTACACAGAAAATTAGAATATCAAAATTTTATATTCTAATTAAATTGTAATAATTGAAATTTATATTTATAGATTTATCAAATATTTTGTTTAATAAATTTTTTTAAAAATAAATTATTGTAACCATCCCAAAATGATTCAAAACAATATAGAACTAAATTGTAATGTAACTTAATGTTTCTAATGATTAATGATTTTATTCCTTATTATATAAAATATGGTTTTAGTGAAATTATTTTCAGGAAGAAAATTTTCTTATATAGGACACATGTTACATTTGCCAGCTAACTTTTTTTGGGTTTTGATGTTTCAAAAATCACATGTGCATTATATTCAATGGTGAATTAGAATAAAATAATAACAATAATAAATAAANTTAAAAATAAGTTTATATAAATCAGATATTTTATATATTTTCAGGTTAATAAATGTTTTAAAATAAGTCAATCAGTTAATGACGAACAATAAAAATGGGGACACAACAGTTTTGTCTGAAATGGAACAATCATCAAGTGAATATGGTGACAGTTTTCGACCAGTTACTCTCTAGTGAAGCTTTAGTAGATGTAACTTTAGCATGTGAAGGTTTGAGCCTGAAAGCTCATAAAATAATACTTTCTGCTTGTAGTCCATTTTTTCAAAGTTTGTTTTTAGAAAATCCTTGTAAACATCCCATTGTTATTTTAAAAGATATGAAATATGCAGAACTGAAAGCTATAGTGGAATTTATTTATAGAGGTGAAGTTAATGTTTCTCATGATCAGTTATCTGCACTTCTTAAAACTGCAGAAATGCTAAACATTAGAGGATTAGCAGAAGTTGCAAGTGACAGCAAGAACAAAGATTTAGAAAAAGACTTACAAAAAGAAGTTGTGCAACAACAGCCAGTCAATACAACAGTTTCTTCTGTTCCTGTGGACCAAGTACCTAGTAGGCCAACATTAACTTCAGCAACTAAAAGAAAAAGAAATAGGATAAGAAGAAGATCTTCGAGTGATTCAAATTCCAGTGATGAAGATGTGCCATCTAAAATTAAAGAACCAGAATCTCCTGAAATAATTGAAGAAATATTACCTGAATCAGTTAATGACAGTCATAAACAGCTATCAGTGTCTACAAATTCACAATATCCAGTTTCTTCATGTCAGTCTCAAGACACATTATCACAACAAAAAACTCAATCATCATCTGTTCTTTCACAACATAATACATATATCAATGTTGATGAACCTTGTTTAGGTAATGATAGGAATTATGTTGATTCTTCAAATTTATTGGAACAACTTATGACAACTGAACCTGTAAGTTGATATTTATTTTTTAATGTTTGTTTTAATTGTTAAAATATTTTAAAAACAAAATTTTATATACTCACACATAACACCAAACATAAAACATGGAAAAAATATACTATATTTCAGCATTAAATTTATTTACTTGATGCATTGAATATTTGCAAGTACTTTTGACATTTCAAAATGTCATTCTCAGGTGAACAAAGAATATACAAAATATGAATAGTGTTGCTTTAAAAATCAATTCTTTATATATTTTTTCAAAAAATTGATGAGACTTCATAGGTTAAATCCAAAGAAGTTAACTGATGTTTTTTGTCTGTACCTCATTTCATCAGAAATAAAAACTCCTGAGTGTTATCTTTGTTACTTTTTATTCACTATTCATTTTGGGTGCAAGATTTTTGTGTAATTTGCACCCCTCATCAGGTGTTACATTTCTATAAATTGATATAAATACGATTATTACAGTGATTATTATGGTAAAATTACCATTTTTACAAATTACAACTATTATTACAACTTCCATTATTTGGATATATTTACACAATAGTGAACTAACCTGTTTTTTGTTTAGACATACAGCTATGCGGTGTTGATGTTGTATCCCTTAATTAATTAAGGCATTTCTAACTCTTTTTTTCTTTCTGTTTTCCTGTTCTTTAGCCCCTCCCATACGTTGTCAACCTCCATGCCATTATTTAGGTTTATGGTTTTGTTTTTATTAACAATTGCAAAATGTTCTTTGAGTTTCCGTAGATAACTGTCTTTTCCTCTGTGGGTTATTTTTACACTTTTTTCATTGATTGTGCATCCAAACTTGCTGCAGTGATTTGTCCATGGTTATTGGTTATATTTAAGTCTGATTGCTGCTTCATGTTCTTAGTTGCCTTCCTGTTTCTCCAATGTATATTGCTGGTTTTTTACATGTACATTTTACCTCATATACCCCCTCCTGCTTGGTTTAGTATTTCGTTATTTTTAATTTTATTGATATTGATGTTGTTTTTAATTTTATTTTTTAGTTTGGCTGCTAGTATAACACCATGTTTTCTGAAATTTTTCAAATGTTCCTTTAATATAGGGGAATGATGCACATGTAATACAGTATTCTCATTCTTATTTTTAACATTGAATCTGTTTTTTCAATATGAAAATTATTTTAGTTTTGAATTTTATTGTGGCTTTTATGATTTGTCTTTCTATCTCCAATATGTGTCTATGTTGTATGTTTGCTGAGATGGATTTGGATAGGCTTAACGTATTTGGTGTGGATTCCTCTCTTAAAAAACGTTTGAAGTATTGTATGTCTATTTTGCATCTTGACTGTAGTTTTCTTAAAAATGCAAAATAGACATACAATACTTCAAATGTTTTTTAAGAGAGTAATCCACACCAAATATGTTAAGCCTACCCAAATCAATCTCAGCAAACATACAACATAGAGACATATTGCAGATAGAGAGACAAATCATAAAAGCCACAATAAAATTCAAAACTAAAAAAATTTTCATATTGAAACGGCAAATAAGAAGACTACAAGAAATTACAGAACCAACTAAAGAATTCACTGACTGGAAGTACAAAAAAAGAAAAGATCAGAAACTAAAAAATCTGTTCGGATATCCAGTGCCAAGTGATAAAAGAAAATGGGAAATAAGTTAATAGTTAATAAGACAAATAAAATAAAACCGAAAAACATAAGAAACATACTGAAACCAGAGCTAGAATACAATATGTCACTGAATGATAAAGCAATTAATATAATATCCAAGATTGATAAAGTGGTAAATCAGATAAAAATAGAGAATAGGTGTAATTTAAAACATCAAATAAAAGAAGACATTAAAAAACTAAAAAAACAGCACTAAAATGGGAAATAATGTTAAGAGATAGGGGGGAAGATTATTCAAAAAAATGTACAATATTAAAAAATATTTAAATAAAAATCATTTAAACATAATCAAAGCAGATAAAATCAATCAAATCATCATTGTTGATCAAGAATGGGAAATAACGAAAAAATCTGAAATAGTGTTAATGAATGATTTTCTTGAACTAACAGAAGAACCAAAAGAAGAAATAAAAAACTGGATGAAGAAAGAAATCACAAAATTATATAAACAAAAAAAGGTAACACCAGATGAGAAAAAACAAATTCTCAACGTAAAATACGACTAAAAACACAAAAAGCAGGGGATATATGCAGACCATTAGTAGATTTTAAACACACAATATTATCTAATTTAGAACTATTTATAAAGAAAAAACTTAAAATAATCCTGTATTCAGACTACTCAATAGAAAACACAGATGAATTAGTAAGAAAACTGATGGGTGTAAAAATGAAACCAACATATAGTCTACTTAGTTTAGACATAATTTCTACGTACTCATCAATAAAATGGCCTACGCAATCTAGACATATATAGCTGGCTACTGGAGTTAATAAAACACAGTTTTAAAAATAATTACTTCCAAATATATGAAAAAATATATAGACAGAAAAATGGTATTAGTATGGGAACAGTAATAGGACCAAAACTTGCAGAAATATGCATAAAAGAAATAGATAAAAAGAATAGCAAACCTAAATGGAATAGTATTTATGGCTAGATATGTGGATGATATCATAATAATATATGACAAAAAAATAACAAATGAAAATATAATATACTGTACAACTATGCAAACATGCTTAGCAATACTCTTAGAAAATAAAAATGAAATTAATTATCTAGACATAACTTTAAACTGGGAAAAAAACACCCTCAATATATATAAAAAAGCAGCAATGTAGGTAAAATTCCCTGTATAAAAAAGCAGCAATGTAGGTAAAATTCTTAATTATAAATCGTATAGTCCTATAACTATAAAAAAAGAGTAATTTTATAACAGCACTATCAAAGATATGGAACAGAACATCTAAGGCAATAGACAGAGAAAAACAAAAAAAATGAATGAATACTGTAAATACTTTTATCTTGAATGATTAACCAAACAGATTACTAAAAAATGGATTACTGCATTTATAAAAAACAGATTCAATGTTAAAAATAAGAATGAGAATATTACATATGCATCATTCCCCTATATTAAAGGAACATTTGAAAAATTTCAGAAAACATGGTGTTATACTAGCAGCCAAACTAAAAAATAAAATTAAAAACAACATCAATATCAATAAAATTAAAAATAACGAAATACTAAACCAAGCAGGAGGGGGTATATGAGGTAAAATGTACATGTAAAAAACCAGCAATATACATTGGAGAAACAGGAAGGCAACTAAGAACATGAAGCAGCAATCAGACTTAAATATAACCAATAACCATGGACAAATCACTGCAGCAAGTTTGGATGCACAATCAATGAAAAAAGTGTAAAAATAACCCACAGAGGAAAAGACAGTTATCTACGGAAACTCAAAGAACATTTTGCAATTGTTAATAAAAACAAAACCATAAACCTAAATAATGGCATGGAGGTTGACAACGTATGGGAGGGGCTAAAGAACAGGAAAACAGAAAGAAAAAAAGAGTTAGAAATGCCTTAATTAATTAAGGGATACAACATCAACACCGCATAGCTGTATGTCTAAACAAAAAACAGGTTAGTTCACTATTGTGTAAATATATCCAAATAATGGAAGTTGTAATAATAGTTGTAATTTGTAAAAATGGTAATTTTACCATAATAATCACTGTAATAATCGTATTTATATCAATTTATAGAAATGTAACACCTGATGAGGGGTGCAAATTACATAAAAATCTTGCACCCAAAATGCATAGTGAATAAAAAATAACAAAGATAACACTCAGGAGTTTTTGTCTCTGATGAAATGAGGTACAGACAAAAAACATTAGTTAACTTCTTTGGATTTAACCTATGAAGTCTCATCAATTTTTTGAAAAAATATTTAGACTTGATTTTTAAAGCAATATAAAGAAAACCGCACCATTGATATAATACATATCTATTACTTATAGATATACAATGTTTTTTTAAAAAATTTTTACATTTATCAAACTTAAAAATGCATTCTAAACCTAAATATGTAGTAACTGTTATAATTTGAATTTTTTCAAACTGCAGTCCAAACGAAACTTTGGACTGCAATTTGAACGGCGCACGTGCCATTCGATGCGCCGATTCGCGATGAAAACAAGCTTAAGCAATGGCGTCGTCAAATGGTGCACACTCGGTAAGTAATCCTACAATTTTTTGTTTATAGCATAGTTTATATGGATTATTCCCAAAAAATTATGCGTACTTTGGAAATGTTGAGTCAAATTAGTCTAGAATCGATTAATTTTATGGAAGAAAACCTTTCAAACAGCTGTAGTCTGTAAACTGCATATGTACCGGGCTGTGATTGGCTCATGTATTTAAGGACTCATAAAACATGAATTTCATAAAGAATGGAACGTATTTACCGTGTTATAGGGGGGTCGACTGTAATAATCGTGGCTATTGTATCGTTAAAAATTATTTCTTTATTTTTTACAAACAAAATAAATATATTGAAAAATATAAAAACAAAAAAAATTATACTTTAGAAGTTAATCTAGTATCAAAAATGTTTGATTCAGCACGACACACAGTCCTCAGAAAAACACCACACAAAAGTGCCAGTGCTACCATCTAAAACACACACAGCAACAAAAAAAATATTGGAGTAGCCCAAGATATAGCCAAATATTGTAGCACCACAGCACTAGCGAAAATTTAAATTTGCCGACTGGAATTCTTTTGGATAACTGATGTTTCAGATAACTGACTTTTGGATAAACGACACTCTACTGTAATTGCTCATTTAAATTTAAATTTAAAATTTTTAAAACAAATATGGAGTAGGTGAACAAAGAATATATTTACAACGTATGTTCTTGTTCACCTGAGTATGATATTTTGAAATGTTGAAAGTACTTCCACATATTCAATTTGTTACATAGATAAATTTACTACCAAAAGATGGGATATTTCCTCCATATTGTATAATA